TCAAAATGTGCCAAAGTAGCGTAGTGGAGATATAGCTTAGTGACTGAATTGGTGTTACTTGAGAAAGATGCAGGGATGATACTGACTACTTCCCTGAAAGCAGGAGTTAAGTCTTCAGGTGAAGAGGACCTCCCTGTAGCAGGAAGGAATAAAGTATCTTTATCACCACAGACCAGCATGCAGGCCTATTTAGCCATGTAAGTAAGTTCTGCTTTGCTCACTCAATTAACTTTCAAACCTGAAATGTCTCTGTCCTGTCAGTTCATCATAAATTTGTTGTTTGTCTTAAAAGATAGAAAAGCAACTTATTTTGAACTGCTTTGTGAAGTCCATGGTGTATGATTTTTTTTCTCCTGCCAATCTGTCCATTATTTATAAGGTTGCTTCAGCTAAGAATCTAAAAGGGTAGGGAAAAAATTTTTATCCCCTACAGAACCCTTGTGCACTCTTGGTAGGAATAAAATTGGTGCAGCCTCCATGGAAACAGTATTGAAATGCCATGCGATCCAGCAATTTCATTTCTCCTTATTTTGAAGGAAATGAAAACACTTATAAAATATATGACTGCATCCCCATGGTATATTCAGCATTATTACAATAGTCAAAATATGGAAACAATCTCACTATCCATTAATGTTTGAATGGATAAAGGAAATGCAGTTTGTGTGTGTGGATATTAGAATATTCTGACAATAAAAGAAGGGATCTCTGCAATTTGCATCAACATGGATGGACCTTAACGGTATTTACTAAGGGAAACAGCAAGAGCACACAGCTATTTTTAATGGGTAACAAGTGTATGTAGTAATAAAACCAAAGAGTACAGAGGTTTAACAGAGTAAATCTTATTCACCTGAGAATCAATTTAACCCATTAAAACCTACTCATGTAACCACTGTTAAAGTTCTTCTTATGTATCTTCCAGAAATACCTGTAAATACACCAGAAATGTTAGGCTAGATATCTCTACTCTTTTTTTTTTAAGATTTTTAAAAAATTTATTTATGCATACAAGAACTGGAGTGTAGACCAGAGGTCTGGGGTGGATGAGATGATTCACTGGAGACAGATTGGGGAGCAGAACAGGTGGCTCTACTGAAATATACTGCTGAGAGGAGCAGTGGGCAAGACAGGAGAGGTCTGCTGTGCATGTGGGTTAGTTCCCTGGCAAGGGATCAAACTCATGCAGCAGTGGCTGGCGATAGCTTGATAGCACTGAGACTTGAACCCCTGTGCCACCAGGGAGGCCCAATCTACTCTTTTTACTAAGATATAGTTAACATAGCATTGTATCAGTTTTGGGAGTACTCCATATTGACTGCATATTTCTATGTGTCATGAAATAATTACCATAATTTAGTTACCATCTGTCACTACAGTTGAAGTTTTTTTCTTGTGATGAAAATATTTAAAAGCTACTGTCTTAGCACTTTCAAATAGTCACGCATTGCTTAACAACCAGGATGTGTTCTGAGAAATGTGATATTGGGTGAATTCATGATTGTGCTAATGTCATATAAAGTACTTAGACATTTCTAAACAGCAGAGTGCTGTCCACTCCTGCTCTCTATAGGGACACTTTGTATGTGTGGTCTGTCATTGTCTGAACATGGCTCAGGGGTGCATAGGAGTGAATGATTTGTTGTATTTTCTCCTATTCTGTAAGTTGCCTTTTATACACTTTTTGCACACTCAAAATCTAGAAACTCAAAATCTTTTGGTGCACAAAAATCTAGAAACATTCTCAACTAATTTCTGGAGAGATACTAAACTCATTTTTTAACATCAATGAAAGGAGACAAAAATCTTATCTTAAATAAACACTAGATTTATTTATATGTCAATACATTACCCAAAAATCTTACATTGTACAAAGCCATGTAGACAGTGAATAGTCTAAAATCCAGATGTAATAAATCTACAGATCATCCTCTAAGACCCCAAATACACAAGAATGTATCTTACCCTCTAAGACCCCAAATCAAAACTGATTGGTGAAAACCTGTCTACAAGGGCAACCTCCAGATTTGTTTTCCTTTGGGACAGGCATTCAAACACCAGTATCTGTAATTCCCACTAACGTACAAAGTAGCAGTGGAGGTAACACGTATCCTGCAGTGAAAGGACACAGAATTTCCATCGTCTACAAAGGCAGCATCACTTAACCAAGTTGTAAATGAGCCTTAAACAACCACTGTAACTAGCAGAGGTTGCGGTTCTCGGCATGGGTAAAAGCTGTGATGCTCAACCTCAGCTGCACATGACCTTTACCAGGGGTACTTCTAAGAATATCACTACTCAAGTATGAATTAAAGTAGTCTGGAATGAAGCTTAAGAAAAAATGCTGTTATTCTAACGTCACTGAGGATTAAAAACCGGTGGAGAAAAGACTGATCCCTTGGATAAGGAATGAGAACACATGCTACAATCACTCTCTCCCTTTTTCCTCCTGGAGATTATGGATTCAGGACAGAGTAGTAGAAGCAGAATGTTACTTTGCCCTGCTCGATATGATAAGCACGTCCCATATCACAGGAAGGAGACACTTTGCACCCTGAGAAAACCAGAAGTAACAGGGTATCTAGCTGATTCTGATCTCAAGAACAATAAAATCTGGAGTATTCTCCCTAATGGACTCCCTACCAAGGCAGTTTTATCCCTGCTTCTGCTGTGCTGGTTTCTGAAAACTTGCCATGACCTTTGTGAATACGATAACCACGTGGAACAGTTTCTATTTTCTACCATGAACAGATCAACACAGATTCGGAAGCCATATTTTTATTTGGCATGACAGTTCAGTTCTTTTGTTGCTCTCTTTGCAGCTAAATGGTGTCCTTTTCTAAACGTTTCTGTCACTGAGTCTTTCTTCAACACAGTTAAAGCTTAGCGTGCTTGGACTCAGAACTGGGTGATCTCTAAGGGAAGAAAGTCTCCACAAGTGATAAGGGAGAGGAGTGAGAAAGGAGAAGTGGCTCAGTTGGCCCGTGGGCGCTTCAAGGTGCAACCCAAGACCCTGCTCAGCCATAAATGTGTATGGGCAGCACCGAGCAAATCCCAAGGCAGTGTCAGCTCCTCTCTGTAGCTTTGATAGCTGGTGTCCCCTATGCTGCCCTACTGCGTTGTACTAAGCAATGCTCCCGAATTCTAAACTAAGAATGACCCCAAGGGCCTCCCTGGTGGCTCAGGTGGTTGAGCGCAGCTCTGTGAAGCTGTCCGCAGACTCTGCAGCGCAAGTTCGATCCTGGTCAGCCGGTGAGAATCCCACATGGCGCAGCAGACCTCTCCTGTCTCACCCACTGCTCCCCTCAGCAGTATATTTTGTCAGTCTGCCTGTTCTGCTCTCCGCTCTATCTGTGGTGAATCCTCTCACACTCCCGCACATCTGGCCTGTACCCCAGTTCTTGTATACATAAATCTTTTTTTTTTCTAAAAAAAGAATGACCCCAAAAGCACATATAAAAATACTAGAAATGAAGAGGCATAAACACACACCAAGGAAACAAGAGTTCTGTTACTACTGACTTTTCTGTAACTGGGGAAAACATATTACAATAAGCTTTACTGGCTCTTTAGATAACAGAAAGGTGGTCATAACAAATTTGACATGAAACGGAATGATAAATATGTGGTAAAAGTTTGAAGGATCTCTTTATCTTGTCCTTTGTTATCTTAACAAGACCTAATTACTAAACATAGTATAAATGCTCAGCAAATATCTGTTAAATGAAATTCATGGGTTTGGAAGTCTTTCTGTTCCACAGAAATTAGAGCTATAATATCACTTACAAATTGGGGATCCTTTATATCTCATTTAAGGATCACCCTATCAAAAGTTTTTTGTTGATGGAAATCAAATAGTCTACTAATAATCTCCTCTAATAAATTATTCAAAAAAGGCCTGCCAGTTGCTATGACTTCATTTTTCAATTTGTTTCAATTTGATCAGAACCATTAGTCTCAGGTTCTGAAAATCTGCATCTCAGTAAGGCATCCGCTAGCTAATATTCACCAAAATCAGCACTAATGTTGTTATAGAGCAGATAGAGGAACTTCCCTTTTGGTGGTAATGGCTCCTGACTCGGCAGTGGTGGTTGGTAGGAGTCTGGCGATATCTACTCTCTGGATGTAGGCAGCTGACACTAATCCAAGGTCAGCCATTCATAGGCTGAGACAAAGGGCTCTGCAATCATGACAGTGGTAGTCACTCAAGTCAGATGGGTTCCATCTGGAATGTGGACTACAGATACCAAGGATGGGCAGGAGGAACAGGGGGAAATCTCCCAAGGGCAGAGCTGCTATGACAGAGACAGAGCGCAGCTTGACCCCAGATTGTGCCCAGTTCCTGAGGGCTGCAGGCTCTTTCCAGTTCATGCTTCCCTGAAGACACATCATCTGGTTCCAAGGTAGCTAGAGGGGCTTCTGTGTTTACAAACCAAAGAGCACACAGATCACTTATTTAGCAGAAAAACGGATTCAAAACTCCAAAATACATGATGATACTTGGTACTCCAAGGACAGGCATGGAAGTTCATTAACCCTCAGTATACAGTGCCTAGCACAAAGTAAGTTTTCTAACACTTGCTCAATGATTGAACCAAAGTTGGAAGCAGAGATGAGGAAATGTTGAGGTCAATGCTGGATACAATGTTTAATTTACTCAGTACAAGATGACACTGAGCTGATTCTAGGATGACAAAACCAGTCTAGAGTTTGATGCAACACTAACAAACCTGATTCTCTATCTTCTTTTTTGTAGCTGGTCTCTCTGGGAAAAACTGCATTAGGACAATATCTAAGCCAAAAAAAAAAAAAAAAAGCATCCAAAATAATCCTAAGGGGGGAGGAGGGAGAGGGATCAGAGGGAAGGAAGAGCACAGGTGACTGAGGTGATGGTGCACGGGGGCACTGGTGAAGGAAATTCTATGAGGACTACACCTGGGGCGGAGGGAAGGAAGCAAACATTGTTTAAAATTAATAATGATGTAAAATTAATTAATCTAAAAAAGAATTATCTTTTGATCTAGCAATTTCATTTGTGGGGCGATATCCAAAAGAATTGAAAGCAGAGACTCAAGCAGAATATTTTTACATTAATGTTTATAGCAACTTTATTCACAAATGCCTAAAGGTAGAAGCAAGCCAAGTGTCCATCAATAGATAAATGGATAAACAGACTATACACACAATGGAATACTATTCAGACTTAGAAAGGAAATTCCAACACAGGCTACGCCATGAATGAACTTTCAAGACATTATAAGTGAAATAAACCAGTCACAGAATATAGGGTAGATACTATAGGATTCCCCTTGCATGAGGTACTTCTAACACTCAAATTCAAAGAGACAGAAACAAAACATTGTTGTCAGGGGTTGGGGAAGGAAGAAACAAGGAGTTATTGTTTAATGCATTTCAAGTCTCAGTTTTGCAAGATAAAAATGTCCTTGGAGCGATGGCTTGATGGTTGAACACAATAATGCCAAGGCAATGAATATAATACATGCTCGAAAACATTTAAAATGTTAAATTTTGTCATGCTATTTTATCACCATTAAAAATAACTGTCTTTTTCTTTTAAAAGACCTTATAATCACAACAAGTTGTTCAGATGCTATAAAACGCAACCCCCTTGGATTGCCTTCACAGTATCTTAACTAACATAATCAAATGCATCAAAAGTAAGTTGCAATAAAGAGACCCAAGATTAACAGTCAGAGTGCAAGAATATAAAGGATCTTCTCTGAAAGAATTGAATAAATAGCAAAATAAAGGACAACAGAAAACAGTTAAAATAATCACAGAAAAATGTTGAAAAATAAAGAACAATTCTCACTGTAAAAATTCAGTGAATTCAGTGTTATAAAATTTAAAATCATTAAATATGAAACTACACCTAAATAAAAATCCAACTTAAGTTCAACCCAGCCTTAGTGCCAACTAGCCGAAGTGCAATAAGTGTATTAGATCGTCCTGATTACCAAGGTCACCAGCCTTGGTTTGATGGTTTGGTTTTTTAGTCCCAAGGAAAAACACACTTTATTATATTTATTTTTTTTAAGAAAAGGTGGATTTATTGGAATACACCGCTAAGAGAAGCAACAGGCGACACTAGAGGTCTGCCGCACTCACACTTCCTCTTTTAGATCACCACTGACACCCTGTACCATCATGACCCATTAAAATTAGGTCTTTATCTAGGGCTATAATTTATATTATGTATGAGAGTTGATGAGAAATATGCCACAACATTTCTGACCCTATACTTATTAAATTCTATTACAACAGGAAATAAAAACTTCCTGAAAATACCTTGTGTCCTCCCCGGTGGTGCAGCTGGTAGACCGCCGCGCTGTGCAGCTGTCCGCAGCCTCTGCAGCGCAGGTTCAAGTCCCGGAGAGCCAGGGAGCAACCCACATGGTGCAGCAGACCTCTCCTGCCTCGCCCGCTGCTCCCCTCAGCAGTGTATTTCAGTCAGTCTGCCTGTTCTGTTCCCCACTCTGTCTCTGATGAATCCTCTCACCCTCCCCTGCCTTTGACTGTACCCCAGTTCTTGTATAAATAATCTTTAAAGAAAAAAAAAAAAAGAAAATACCTTGTATGATTATGTGTTAGATACCTTGTATACTTAAACCTCACACTAAGACTACAAATAGGACAGACAATTCTAATGCACATTAAAATATGACAGGCAATCTTTAGTTCTCTAACCTTCCACCTGGAGCTAGAATCCCTCACACTGCAAATTGGAAGAAAACACTATTTAAAACTGGTATCTACCTTATAAAAAAATAAATGAATAAAAATTTCAATTAAAAAAGGGAATATTTTAAACAAACTTTGGCATAACTTAATCTTTTGTATACCCATCCTTAACAGATCTATCCCACCTACAGTATCTAGAAATATCAAATACACATAATATAGGTGGGTACACAAAGACATACACTCTTCTCAAAAAACTATGAACAAAACAAGTGGTACTTAAACACAGATACAGGACATCTCCAAGTATATATCTCATCTATGCCCATTAAAAATGTTATACTCTATTTCAGAAGTAATCTTAAGGGGCAGCATTGGGTAACACAACGCTATTGTAAAGCAAAAGTTCTAGCTATGACAGAACAACCCATATTAGTTAATGAGTTCCTCTGAAAAATGATCATTTTACACGTAATCTGGGTCTCAACAATTTTGAAGATGCGTTGCTGTACTGGTCACCTGCCAACTATGTTTGTTTTATTTAATAAACAAACAAGTCAAATGAAAAACCTATCTACCAACTGTGGTGTTAATAGATTCTAGACATAAACCTCAAGTTGTTTCTGACAATTTATCTCAATTTTTTTTTTTTTTAACCATTAAGATATTTTGTTGATGAGAAATGTAAGGACTTCTCTAGTTTAGATTGTGGGTTATTTGTCCCTTATCCCTAATCTGCCATTACCATTTTATAACGAGGTACATTTATAACAAAAACTAAAATATAATAAAATTTGTTTGGAAAACAACAGTGATTGCAAAATGTGCGCTCAAAGTGTTCTTGGATGCAGGCCTCCCTGGTGGCGCAGCAGGTTGAACACAGCGCTTTGAAGCTGTTTGCAGCCTCTGCAGCGCAGGTTCGATTCCTGGAGAGCCAGGGAGAAGAATCCCACATGGCGTGGCAGACCTCTCCTGTTGCGCCCACTACTACCCTCAGCAGTATATTTCAGATCTTCTGACTGTTCTGCTCCCAGCTCTGTCTCTGGTGAATTCTCTTACCCTCCCGCGCCTTGACCTGTACCCCAGCTCTTGTATAAAAATAAATAAATCTTTAAAAAAAAAATGTTCTGGATGTTACCAAGAAAAGCTGACTTTTACTGATTTAAGCTGAATTTAAGCTGAATCTCCAGTCCCTGGAGATACTGAAGCTTTTCTCCCCCAGCTCAGTCGGTACCTTGCTTCATCTTTTATTTTGCCTCACCCCAGAGTAGTGACGCACAAGATGACCCCCAAAGACTCAAGATGACCCCCAAAGACTCACATTTCTGTACCAGCCTCTCCCCTTGAGTTTGGGCAGAACCTGGGACATACTCTGCCAACAGAAAGTGGTAAAGGTGACAATGGACAACCTTATGTTGTCCAAGGCGCCAGCCAGGCAGACTTGGACAAGAGCCTACAGCTGGCTCTGAAGCAGCAGGCCACCCACCATGAGGGGTCTCGAGAGGAACATGGCCCAGGGCACTAGGGGAGGTGCCACCTGGCAGGCAGCAAGAAGCAGGCCCCTCAGTTGACCATGGCAAGGAAGTGAAGACTGCCTGCCACCATGAGGCCCTGCAAGGGAACTCCAAGCTCCAAAGGGAACACAGCTCTGTCCAGCAGGTGACTGCAGACCTGGGCCACCATGAACAAGGGACCCAGCGACATTGTGCCTACATTTCTGACCCAAGGAAACGGGAAAACACAAACTGTCTGTAGTTTTAAGCTGCTAACTGGTGAGGATTTGTTACTTAGCAAGAGAAAATGCCAGTAGTGGTTGGTTGTGGGTCTCAGACACTTACCTAAGAAATGACTATTAGAATGAGTATTAATTCTTGGAATTGTACCAAATCTCATCCTTCCAATATGGAAATACACTATCAAACATTAAAAGCCTATAATCTCATAGGGCCATGCTCAATATGATTTGTGGAAGTGGACTTTCCAGTATGGACTTTCACATTTCTACCACGTTCTTAAGTCAAGCCATCTCTCCTTGAACTGAATCTTCTACCCCTTCCCTGTGGACACTACAGGAAAATCTCTCTTCTAGTAAGCCTCCTCTTTGCCAATAGGTACCACTCCCAAATTTCAAGAACCTGAAGAAAACCAGCAAGTGGAGGACAAGCAGTCTCCAAGTTCTAGCTAAGAGAGAAGCACAGTGTGTACAGACCAAGAACAGACTTTTTACTCTTACTTCCTCCAGAAACTGTTAGATTAGTAACAAGAAGTAGTGTTGTGGCCAGGGCATAAGGTGAAATGGCAGTGGTCCAGAAAGGCACTGTACTTCACTTAATGACAAACAAAGGCACATTAGTAAGAATTAGGTCAAAGAAAACAAACATACTGTAGCCAGGCAGGAACAGATACCATAAATTCTGGTAAAGAGATGTGAACAACATCTATCATCAATGCTCATCATTTCTCAAAGGCTGGCTCACAACAGCCTAGCCAGACTCCTATGAGGTCCCCCTCTGATCCTGACTCCTGGGCCATCGAGAACCTCTGCATCATTAATTTGGCTTGACAGTTATTTCACATAGAGGAAGGAGCAGCTCTCCATGGTTGATATCAGTCTTCTATCACCAGAAAAGACTGCACCTCGTTGAAAATTAAACTAGCAGTCTGGTCTACAGTGCTTATCATGTGACTTTACCAGTCAGACTCAATGAGAAGCAGCAAATCCAGAACCCCAGGACTCAGACTCAGACTCTGTTTCTGAGGTAGGTTAAGACCACAAGAGACCCTATCCACAGCCCTATTACTTACTAAGAAACTCTGAGACAGATTTTGAAAGCAGAACATTTATCTCCAAATCCCTTTGGAACATAATAGAAAAAAATCAGCATACAAAAATAACTTTAAAACATCTGTATGTTATGCACAATCTGCATAACTGAATGAATCACTGTATTTCGCTGAATATAAGACACTGATTGTTACATGCAACATTATTTTGTATATGGAAAACATTCAATCAAAGTTTGTCACAATGTTATATGTTCATTGATTTGAAAACATACTCTTATTTCAAAGATGTTCAAATGTCAACAAAGGTACACTTAGAATCAATAACAATACTAAATTGTGTCCTTCAGATAATTATTCAAACACAGTAAAAACATTGAATCTCTTTCCACTGATGTGGTCATAATCAGCAGCCCTTTCGTAAAGCTATTACTGTTGTTTCACTTCTCATTTTAATGAAGAATGGGTGGCACTTATATTATTTCCAGCAGACATCTTGCACAAACTTTAAAATCTACTTGAGTATCACTTGTATTTCACTTCTAGAGGCACTGATGAGATGAGATAAATGAGTCCTAAGTGAGTGAAGTGGCTGAATGCATAGCCCAAAAGCTGGTCAGCAGCATCGAGACTTGAACAGAACCTCTAGAGCACTGACTCGTATCCTCTTCATAAAATACTGAACCAGACTTATTAGAATCTGTTGGTGCAATGCTATGGACAGGGAAAAGCAATGAACAAAACTTCTGTTTGCAAAGACACTCTTTTGTGAAATGACGCTGCCTAATTTGCCTGCCAGAATACCTATGACTGACATTGATTACTAAGGGCTTTGCTACTACGATGGTAGCCAAGTGGTCAAAATAAATGCTTGCTTTGCATGCCGAGGGAGAAAACCATAAAATACTGCTCAGCCAGCCCCGTGCAAACACTGGCCTTTACAAGATGCCGCTGTATGGGACAATCGGTTCCTTTATAGAAGGCTCTGGCATACAAAATGTTTCAAAACCTTTAGCAAACCCGAATCTCAGAGCATGCTGAGCTTCTGCTAAAGCTCTGCTCTGACTGGCCTCCTCAGAAGTATAATTTTCAAAAAGTCAGGGTAACTCCCTCTTCTCTCAGCGTCAGTCCCTCCTGTCCTGGTTACCTGGCCTGTCACTGCCAGGAGAGTCGCCGGGGATAAGTGGTGAGGCCCACTCCAGCTCTAGGCCGTTGGAATGAGACAGGCTGAAAAGGTCAGCTGCAGGCTCCATCAAAGTATGTCCAGACGTCTCCATTACAGAATTCCTCATTGTGGCGTTCATTTCAATCACTTCGAAATCCATTTCATTCCATTTTTCTGCGTCCTCGTCCTCAATGTCCTCCTCATAGTCATTGAGCTCAGAGCTAGACAGCAGAGCTCTCTGGTCCTCGCTCTTCCTGTGTTCTTTCCCTTGACCCTCCAGAGGGAAGGTGGCTAGTTTGTACATCACGGGAAATAAAACGGCCGTGGCGACTGCCGCCCCCAAGGAGGTGTACAGGACGATGGGCAAATCTTCGTACCTTCCCTGGAGGGTCCCAATCACCCCGGGAATCGCCATTTCTCCCAAGGCCGCGCCGATGACAAAAAACGCCGCGGATTTCCCGTGGATGGTCGTGTACTGCTCGATCCAGGAAACACCGCTGGGAAACGTGGTTGCCATCGAGGCCCCATACACGGCAGTGGCCGTCCAGAGACAAATGGGGTTCTTGTCGAAAAGCACCAGAAAGAGCGACGAAGCCAGGCTGCCAACGTTGCTCAACACAATCATGGTTCCGGGTTGTAAACAGGCCGCAAAGAAGATGGCCAGACCTCTGCAGGCCGCAAAGCTGCCCCAGAACATGGAGTTTACCCCAGCCGCTGCACTTTCTGTCATGCCAACGTGGGTGGTTGCAAATGAGAAAACGTAGGAGCCATAGGTCACCTCGGCTCCAACATAAAAGAAGAAGAAGAGGAAAAGGAGACAAAGAAGGGCGTGGTGATATTTAGCTTTTCGAAACCTCTGAGCAGTTGCTCTCGCTGTTTCTCTCCTTGAACTTTTCTTTAAAAACAGAGCAAGGAAAAAGATAGAAACTACAAATAAATAAGTACCGATGATAACGTAAGTCCACAGTAAAGTCATGTTGTCAGGCACTCCGAGTAGCACGTCCGAGTCAGCTCCGGAGGACTGGTTCAGGGCAGGTTGCCGAGAGTCGACCTCTGTGTGGTTGTCAGCAGACACCGCCGTCCCCCATGCCAATTTAGCCAGCAGTGGAGCCAAAAAGGCACCCAAGGCAAAACTGAAGTGTAAGGCCTGCATGTGTGGAGCTCCTCTGTCCCCCCAAATAGCCAAGATTAGCACGTTACCACCTACCAACGAAAGAGGGAAGGAGGGTTGAATTGTGGTAGCAGCTCAGTGGTTCAGACAATCAGAGACAGGGCAAGTCCATTTTTCCATGGTGCCAAGACTATAACATACTCAGATAACAAATACGGCCACTCACTCCGTTCTAGGACTGAGGAACTCTCAGCTGCCGCTACCAGAGAACTCAAGGTGTAACCCCACATAACATGGAATTCCACCAGCCAGGAAACCACTACCGTCTAGAGCCAGGCACATCAGCACAAGGCTTTGTATGCTAGAGCTCTAACAACAGGCTTTAGGAGGAAAGATACTGTATTTCCTTATAAAAATACATATAAAGTAAAAGGTAAATTTTTTTCATGACATTGTGGCCAAATTACTGAAAGTTTTTACACCAGTAAGGTAGTCACTTGAGGAAAATTATTCACGTATATGGCAGATGCAAAATACCTTTTCAGGAACCTGAGCTCTATAGGACTCTGCAGTGCCCATTGCAGGAAGCATGGAAACTTCCAGCATCTGCACTTATACATCTATACAGAAGAGCAGGCACTTTTGGGTTTCATTCCTTTCTTGTTTTTAAAACGTATTTGCAGATAAACTCACAATTACACAACCAACCTAAGCCTAAAATATAAAACATTTCCCAATTGAGCAATTAACAGCAGAGCAAGGGAGAAAGGAAGGAAGCTGGTTTTAGGAAAGAATACCTCCTATATTAACAGTAGTTTTTTCAAGCTCTCACAATAGACAGAAAGGGTCTACTCAAAGAGGGCAGGACTTTTGAGAGAAAAGAGAGCGAAATAATAATAGCACAGGCTTCTCTTAATTCAAAAGACTGGTGCATTTAAAACTGATAGCTGCTTTTATGCTTTCTCAGCCAAATGGCTCCAAACTTGGAGCTTGTTAACCCAGCAATCCTTCCTTCCCTTACTAGAATGATAAATTCGAGCCCAAAACGCCAGTCTGCTCACCTGCGCTGAAATGACCCACTCCAGGGCCCTTCGGTGATGTACAATGTAAGTCAACACTATCTCACAGAACAAAACTCTTTCACCTCGCATTAAGGTCAACAGACCCCAACAGGCACCCTGCTTAGCAAGAGGAGGAGCTACCAGAAGGGTGTTCTGAATGGGTGACCTCATGATCACCTCAGTAGGTGTCACTCCACGGGATACTGCAAAAGGCCATGTAATAATAACATGTGCTCTGAATTTTGTAATAGAAATTCCCTATGCCCACATATAACTTCAGAGCTAACTTACCTGTATCCAGAATTCCCATTGAAACACCAAAGACAGATATCATGACAATCAGCAGGACTGCCGACTTACAAAATGGAACAACATAAAGACCGGCGGTGGTGGCCAACAAGGACACCCCTGAGAAAAAAGGTAAAGTCAGCGGTACAATGCAATATTCAAGCAGAGCATCGTGGATCAAGTCAGCATCAGAAACACCCCCCAAAATGCAAAAGAACTCAAATTAAAACTCAGTAATAATGAGCAGATGAGACCGTCAGCTTCTACAAGTGGCTATATCACTGAAAAGCTTTTATAATCTTCATGGATTATAAAGTACAAAGTACTATAAAGTACAAATTATTGTAATAGGAATACAAATCTAGCACTGCTCATAATCAAACTAAAATATATAGCATGGCAAAGTTTACAGCAAAATAGCTCAAAAATTTATTTGTTTCTTAATTAAGAACCCTTTTAGGTTCAAGGTGTTGCCCAGGAAATTTGCCCTCACCCTGACAAGCAGTCCTCTTTGGACATCAGTTCGTGATCCAGGGGTGATGCCTAAATTACATCAAGGTCAGGAAAGCTAAGCGTCTCCAACACACCCCAGGGCTGAGCCAATTTTCCAGCTGGGCCCAGCACTGACAGCCTGTAACTGTCCAGATGAGAGCAGGCACCAGGGAACCCTAACTCGCACTGAGGACACCTGAACACTCTGCATTTTGTCAGCTCTGCGACTAGCTCGTTTCCTGCTTAAAGACACATGGTAAAGTCCTTGAAAGGCACGAAGAAGCTAAAACTGGTGTTTACTTACCCAAAAGCAGAAAGTGATTCATACAGTCGAAAAGAACCCCTCCAATCACAGAGCCACTCAAATATCCAGAGGCTCGGCCCACAAAAATCAAAGAAAGACTGCTGATGTTGCGGTTCACATTTGTTGCCAAATCCTGAAATGTGGGCCCCAAGATGGCAATACTCATTCCCTAAAATTTAAAGACAAGTTTTTCTTTACAATTATTAATATCTATGTGATAGATTTTTTCATTATAAAAACAAGGAGGAGAGCATTTGAACATAACCAAGGGGATTAATTGGTTCCCAAAATCAGGAAAAATCATCATGACTAGTACTATCAGTGTTACAGACTACCCTTTCTGGTGTGCCCCCCAAATCTTACTGTTTTTCTAGGTTTAACAATAAGTTTTTCAAATATTCTTTAATTCTTTTGGCTTTTTCTATAATTATCTTTTCATTTGCTTAATACCATAAAAGACTATTTTATACTAAGAGTGAAATGTAACATTAAAGTAATACTGAAGTAGGTTTGTATATTTTGAAATACATTATTGCACAGAAACACAGATATTAGATGCTTAAATTCCCAAATCATGAAAATATTTCTCTCACTTTCTAAAGTTATTTTAAAAAGTCACACTATTTATGGACATACATGGGATCCTTTCTTTAAATTCATATATAAACACAAAGGGAAGACAAAATTTAAATGTTTCTTAATCTGCATTTCTTCAAAGAAAACTCAAAGCCATTAGGAGTATAATCAATTAAGCCTTGGAGAACGACATTAGAACAAAATTTGATGCAAAGACAATCTAGTATTAGCAAAATTAAGGGTTATAGTTGGTTCATAGAAGATATTCCTTGGAAACTTAAAAAATGTTTCTCATTAATTTAAATTATAATCAATTCTATTTCTAAAACAAGCTCTAAAAGCTTAGGTGTGCTTGTACCCCAAGGTTGAGCTGTCCAGGATTAAGGACAATCCTGGGCACAGCGCAAACCAAGTGGCACAGGAAAAAAAGGCTGAATGCCAGTTGAATCAAAATAGTTTCTTCCTGAAAAGCACATAAGGCAGGGACTTGTCACACAGTGAGAGTTCACGAAGCATCTACAATGATTACTAAATGTTTTCTTCCCCCAAATATTGTCAATTTTACTTGAGAAAGACGTCAGTGACACTCATCAGAGATATCACCCTTCCTACTTTCCAGAATCGAAATGATCAAGAGATGGAGGGTTCCGGAATTAAGGGAATAGCGCGCAGCCCAGGTGTCTGGCAGAGGGCCCTTTTCCTGGGCAGTTTATTCAAGAAAAACACTGAAGATTCTGAGCTTGCTTACAGAGGATTTTGACCTAATAGGAGACACTCCTGGCTGGACCACTTAGCAAGCTGTGGGGTCCGGAAAAGTCACTTTCCTTTTCTTTGCCTATTTCCCACTCTGCAAAAAATAACAGGTCTGTTAAATTTGACCAAAGGAGGAAGAGGAAATCCCAGAGAAAAGCTCTAAAATTCTGGGGATTGTGTCGTGCGGCCACGAGAGCCACTTTTATCTTAACAGAACTGCAAGGCTGCTGAAGCTAGATAATATAGTAGCCTAGTAAATTCTGGACCACCAGAACCCTTAGATTAGACGTGTACCATTCTCCAGAGGACAAAACTGAAGCTGGGGGGGGACTAAGTAAGGCCCCCAAAGTCAGTTTGGAAGCGGTGGAGGCGAGACTCGAACTCGGAACGCCCGTCCTCTCCAGCACGCCTGCCCCGGCCCGGGGGTTCGAGCCCCGCGCTCACCAGCCCCAGGAAGGCGGCGCACAGGATCACCGTGGTGAACCAGCGCAGCCAGCTGCTCCGCCGGGGGCCCGCCACCGCCGCCGGCTGCTTCTCGGCCCGCGCCCCGGGCTGGAGGAGCCGCTGCCCCGCGGCCGGGCCTCCGACCCCATCGAGTTGCAGGTCCGGCTCCAGCTTGGCGGCTCGGGAGAGGCGGTCGGCGGCCGCCCGGCGTGTCCCGCGAGCCCGGAGAAGTGGAGCCCAGAACGGGCCCCGCCCCTGCAGGGCCGGCCGTGCCCGCGGGCGCCACCTCCCCGGCGGCCCCAAGTCCGAGCGAGAAGTCAAAGTTGGGAATAACTGGGCGCAGCAGGCCTCAGCGGCGCGTCGCGCGCCCCTCACGCACGTACGTACGTTGCCGCCGCGGCCAGGTGACGAAAAAGTGGCCTCTCGCCAACCACAACCTTCTCATACCGGAAGTTGATGGCGTTGCCTAGGAGACCGGACCTCGCTCTCCCGCCTCTCGGGCGCTCCTAGCTGAGCCCCCAGTGGCCCGGCGGGCGGGCGCCCCGTAGCGGAGCAAACTGGAGCTGCAGCTGTGGGGCGGCCGCGTAGAGGTCAGCGGCGGCCAAAGGGTTAGGAGGAGAAGCGGGCCCAGATTGCACCCTGGAGCCTGGTGCTGCTGCATGAGGGGGCCCTGGGGATTTAAGGGCGCCCGAAGGTCTGTCCCTTATACAGCTCTGAAAGTCCTGCCCTCGCTCTTGGGAGCCTTGTCCTCTGTTGCTCTGTCGTTCACCTGTCAGTCCACAAGCATTTGTTGAACCTCACATGTAAAGTAAGATTTCGCGTGTATTATCTTGTTTAGTCTTAGTTTTACGACAGAGGGACAGTCTTAGTTTTAAGTCATGGAGTAACAACTGCCCAACGTCCGTGGTGGCTGTGTGCATTAACAGTGTAACTGTAGCTCAAGAAAGACCCTAGAAGCAATTGAAAAATTTGGCCTTAAGAACTTACCGAAATCTTGTTTTCAGGCTGCTTCAAAGAAAGAAATCATTTGCAGTGCAAAGTGTTGACCCAACTCGGGTTAATGAGGAAGCTTGGCAAAGGTCAGCTCATTTATCCATTAGCTTGAGACAGAAATGCTTCCTTTTGGAAAAAGGGGGCATCTTTTCCCCCTTTGCTCCCTACCGCAACTTTCCCCCCTCTGAAAATTTCAATATTGCAATCAGATTTCTATTGTTTGTTTTGGTTCATTCTTGTCAGTGCCTTGTTTTGTGGGGTTATTTTAATATATTCCACATATGAGTGAAATCATCTGGTATTTATCTTCTAATTTTTTCCAGTTCATGCATGTTGTTGCAAATGGCAAGATTTCATGTTTTTTTAATAGCTGAGCAGTATTTTCATACACACTATATTTTCTTAATTCACTGCTCTGGAGTAAGCATTTAGGTTGTTTCCATAACCAGCTATTGTAAGTGGTGCTGCAATGAACATACGAGTGTATATGTCCCTTTGAATTAGTGTTTTATATTCTTCAGGAAGATACCTAGGAGTGGAATGCTGGATCATATGGAAATTCTATTTTTAGTGGGTTTTTTTTTTAAGATTTATTATGCATACAGGAACTGGGGTACAGGCCAGAGGTGTGGGGGTGGGAGGATTCACCAGAGTGGGGAGCAGAACAGGCAGACTTGACTGAAATACACTGCTGAGGGAAGCAAGGGGTGAGACAAGAGAGGTCTGCTGTGCCAGATGGGTAGTTCCCTGGCTGGCGTGGAATCGAACTTGTGCTGCAGAGGCTGCATATTGCTTCACAGTGCTGTACTTACCCCCTTGTGCCACCAGGGAGGCCCTATTTTCAGTGCTTTGAGAAACCTCCATAATATTTTCCTTATAGGCTGGACCAGTAGACATTTCCACCAACAGTGTATGAGGGCTCCTTTTTCTCCAGGCCCGTGCCAACACTTGTTTTTTCTGGTCTTTTTGATGAGTCATTCTCATATATCAGGTGGTACCTCACTGTGGTTTGGGTTTGCATTTCCCTGATAAGTGATGATGCACATTTTATGTGCCTCTTCAGAGTTTGTCTTCTTTGGAGATGTGTATATTTAGCTTTTCTTCCATTTTTAATTGCTATATGTTTTCTTGCTGAGTTGTATGAGATTTTTTGGTAGATCTTGGATACTAGTCCCTTGCACTATGTGTGAAGTGCAAGAATGCTTTTATCTATTCTCTCAGTTAGTAGACCAATTGGGAATCTAGTGAAAGGGAGCTAAAATAGTCAAAATCCATGAGAATGAATCAAACTGAATATTAAGCAAAGGAGCCTAGTGAAGAATAGGAGCTGGAAGTCAAAACAAGAGGTGTGAGAAACCACAAGAATGATGAGTTAATGCAAGAACATGGGTCTAGCATGTCTAAATAGCTTATTCATAAAGCTGAGCACACCTGGCTTATATTGTGTCAGTTACCAGGAAGAGTTTATTATATTATTATGTTCCTAGCAAGTAAGGAACATTAGTTATATATTCTAAAGAATTACTCAATAGTTTATTGATCTCTGATTAGGTTTCCAACTGTTTCCTGGCTTCTTTGACAATAATTTTATTTTCTATTTTTTTTATTTTTTAAAAAAATTTACTTATTTATTTATACAAGCACTGGATACAGTCAGAAGCACGGGAGAGTGAGAGAATTCACCAGAGCCAGAGTGGTGAGCAGAACAGGCAGACTGAGGAAATACACTGCTGAGGGGAGCAGTGGACGTGGCAGGAGAGGTCTGTTCCGCACCAGGCCCGGGTAGGCATTTCGCCACACATTAAAAAAACTGCGGGCAGCCGGCATCCTCCGCCCATGTCATTCTGCATGGAACACGCCTCTCCTCCCGGTTAAGAAACCACACATGGGAGACTATAGACCAGTCCAAGACCTACGAGAGGTTAATGCTAGGGTGGCTGACATTCATCCCACGGTGCCTAATCCATATACTCTGCTGAGCTCCTTGCCTCCTTCCCATCAGTGGTACACTGTGTTAGATCTCAAGGATGCCTTCTTCTGCATTCCACTGGCACCTAAAAGTCAAGAATTGTTTGCTTTTGAGTGGGGAGATCCAGATACTGGCATGTGTGAACAGCTGACCTGGACTAGACTGCCACAGGGTTTCAAAAATTCACCCACCTTGTTTAATGAAGCTTTGGCTTGAGACTTGATGCCCTTTCGTAGCGATCACCCCCACCTACCTCTTATTCAATATGTAGATGATGTCCTTCTAGGTGCCTCCAGCCAGGAGCTATGCATCAGTGGCACAGAAAAACTTCTCACCACCTTGGGGACGCTGGGTTATCGGGCCAGTGCAAAAGGCTTTATTGCTAGCTTAAGCTAGGGTCCGACTCTGCCTGTTGTACTGACACAGCAGTCTCATCAGGTTAAGAGAGGGATCCCCTCCCAGAGCAATCCAGCTGGTTTTGTACTTTGTTCACAGGATGCGGGGAATTTTCACACCTGGGGACCAAGTTCAGCCTGATTGGGTATCTCTCCTTGGCATTAGCTAAGTTTCGTTTACCCTTGTCTTGTGGTTTTTACCCCAGCCTGGTGGTTTTTGCCCTGAAACGAAACTAGGGCATAGCTGTGCCCTTTAAAATGTCTGTTTTCCTTAAAATGGCTGCTGTCTTGCTATGCCTAATTCTTTAATATCTTACACTTAACATTATGAAAGAAATAGGCAGTTTAGAAAGCACATAACTTACATCTCTTTTCTTTAACACAAACTCTTTTCTTCACTTCAGTAATTTTTCCTTCCTCCATCTCCCCTGAGAATTCCATAAATACAGTCACAAAGCCTTATAAAAATTTGCTGAAATGTTTTTCTTTTATTTACTGAGAATATCACATTGTAAATAATCTTATTCTCCAAATGATTACAAAGTTCATTATAAAGGTTTTGGTTATCTATATTAAATTGCACATTATAAAAAAATCAATTATAAATTATATCCTTTAAAAAGAAACATACAATTTTTTAAAAGGCAAGTACTAAAATCCTGCAAACTGATCAAATTCAGCACAATCATTTCACATAATGATCTATATTTAAACAACAATTATGCCAATAATAGCATCCTGTGTAGGTAGAGAAGCAGGGCTACATCGCAGTGTGCAGCAAGCACTTGGAATGATTTGGTTTTGATGTCTAAAATAAATTTTAACTTTGAAGATAAATGCAAAATAATTTAAAAATTATTTTCAAATGAACTTTAAAATAAGTTGACATGAAAAATGTCATATTATACTAGGAGATACTTAAAATATCCAAGCTCTCTCTTAATAATACTGCAGGATTCAATTTGTTGTAGCTTAAATTTCAGGCTAATGATAGGTGAACAAAATAACAACATGCAAATTTATCCAGCATTGTGCATTGTCATTACAATCTTTTATTTCTCAAACCACAATATATTAAGTTGCATCAGAAGTTATTATTAAAAAGATATTTACTCTCACCCTTCTGATTAACAAGCCCTCATTCTCCCTTCCACACATAACTAATATTAACAGTAAAAAGGAATATCATTGGTCAACAGGGCATTCAGTACACTAGAATAGATTCCAAATGTATGGTCTTCCTAATTAGGAAATTTATATTTATAAAATAGAGTTAAAGCAAAGACTACAGAAGGCAGCAGAGTTAAAAATTTGTGGTTCCTACTTCATCTGAATTCTACTTACAGGAACTCAGAGCCACATGGTGATGCTAAGAGCCTTTGATAAATCATAGGTCTGAGATTTGCTGACCCAGATCTAGATATAATCCTTACTAATTTAAGTCTTTATGTCAAATCTGAAAAGATATGCAATGATATTTTAATGAGTTTTTTTTAACATAACTCACTATGTTTTAAGATTGATGACTCCTCAGACTTCGATTTTAGCCCCCCCCAAATAGCTTAACATATCTACTTAAATAAGCTCAATAAAACTATCTTGTAAACATATAAATATAATACAATATATATTTTTTT